TACCAATATGGTCAAACAATCAGAAATACAAATCATGATGACGACCACAGGTATTCAGTGGCACTTTATACCTCCAGCATCTCCGCACTTTGGAGGCTTATGGGAAGCAGGAGTTAAGTCCATGAAATACCATCTGAAGAGAACAGTTGGAGAAGCTAAGTTAACCTACGAAGAACTAACTACGCTGACCCATCAAATAGAGGCTTCTCTTAATTCAAGGCCGTTATGTCCCCTGAGTGAAAATATAAATGACACGATTACGCTAACTCCAGGTCATTTTTTGATTGGTAGGGAATTAATTGCACCACCGAATCCAATTGACACCAACATCAACACTAATCTATCACAAAGATGGCGACTCGTTCAGAAGATTAAGACAGATTTCTGGAAAGCCTGGTCCATGGAGTATCTCTCAAGACTTCAGCAACGATATAAATGGAAAACTCAGAAAGATAATTTAAAAGTTGGAGATATCGTCATAATCAAAGAGGACAACATTAATCCAAGTCAGTGGCCATTAGCACGAGTAATCCAAACTCATCCCGCACCTGATGGAACAGTACGTGTAGTAACTCTTCGCAGAGCAACAGGTACAACATTAAAACGAAATACTCACAATTTAGTACCGCTGCCCCTCGAAAATGAGAGAGTTCCTGAGATACCAGTTCCCAACAAAGTTGCTACACGTACAAATGTTAACCTAACCAGGTGTGTTACAAACCTTACCACTAGGTCTATTGATGGTTTTCCTCAAACAAGTCCAAGTACATCTATCTTCATGAAAGCTTCTAAACCGGGTTCAAAAACACACCAGTATCGGAGTACTTATTTATTCCACTTATGCCTATGTATGATGGTAGTTTTATCCGTTATATCAAAAGTCGATTCTAAGTATGTAATACATCATCCCAATCCTGGAATATACGTGGAACATATTGGTCATGCAAGGCTTGATCGAGGAATATTTAGAATCCAGGTAAACTTCGAAACTACTAGGCTCGAACAAGACTTTAAAGACGTGTCAGTAGTGGTACAAGAATTCAATGATCTCTGTAATAAAACCAAGGCACTCTCTGATGAAACTCAATGTACGAGTCTTAGCCGACATCTCATAGACCAAGAAGATCAGCTCAATTGGTATAGAAGCAGTTTGCCAAGGAACAACGGGAATCGCAACAAAAGAGGAATCTTGGGTAAATTCCTAACTAGCGTATTTGGAGTCAATGACGAGGTTTACCAAGACATCAATGCTCTTCAAGAAAATCAACAAGATCTCATAAAGGCATCAAGTCATCAAACTAAATTTATGATTTCGACTATCTCAAAAATCAATGAAACTGAAAAAAGAATCAAAAATCAACTAGAACGCTTCAGAGTTAAACTTAATCAAGGGCTAGTTGCAGTTAATGAGATGCAAAGATGGTACAAATCAGTAGATATAAATAAACTCAATATCCATCTACTGAGCACCTACCAGGTGGCCTGCAATTTTTTAGCGGAGTTAAATGAATATTACTCCAAACTCCTAGACGTTCATTTTAATAGAGGCAGCCTATACGATTTGATATCTCCACCTTATATTAGCCACATCATTGTCGCAGCAGATGATAAACTCCCATCAAATCTACAAATATTACCAACACCGATTTTAAAAATGAAGATGGAAATTAATGAGACCCACATTCAAATCTTTGCATTCTTTCCAATCGTAGATATTACAGAATTCGCTCTATTGCAAGCAACACCAACTCCTCTCAAAATAGATAAGGGATTCTACTGGATATTGGATATTCTAAGTGAGATCATAGGAGTGGACTACAATACACAGCTTTACTTCCAATTAACAAGTGAAGAATTTAAAAATTGTATCTACTTGGAGGCAAATCAATATATTTGTTCACCCGCTGTTGTGAAGAACATCGAAACAAATTCAAATTGTGTAATAGATGAAATTTATGAAAGACCAGACACCACTCAGTGCAAGATCAAAAAACATAGAGCTGCCCAAATAACATGGAAACAGCTTCACATGCCCAATACTTGGCTCTTTTTTACCAGTAAACCAGTCAACGTGGCTGTCATATGTCAAGGGATACGAGAAGACGTAAAACTCAATTCGACTGGAATTATTCAGATATCACAGGACTGCATTATAAAAACGAAAGAAAATATTTTATCCCCAAAAAGATTGGAAACTGTTCCTGTCCTAGGTAGTTACTCAAAGGCTCTAGCGCCTACTATCAACACTACAATAGAATTGCCATCACACGACACTATCGCCGAAGAAGCTGTGTTTAAACTTACTGATAACTTAAAAGATATACAATCGGAAGAAGAGACACTTCAAACAAAAATTAAAGAAACAACCTGGAAAAAACTACATCAGCATACATATTTGTCTAATGGGGTAACTGCAGTGATCATAGGAATCGTAGCCTTGGGTATATGGTTTGGAAAGCGAATATACAACAAGAGGATCCAAAGAATACAACATCTGTCAAATCAGCCTGAAGTAATTGAGCTCCAGCCCCTGAGATGAATTGGAGAGACGCCAGAATGTTCAATCAGAACATAATAAAATAACATCCTGTACATCAAAGTTTAATTTATTTCACCATAAATTAAACAGTTAAAATTAGAACGTTTCTGGTCGGCGAACCTGAAAATTGCAACTCAGCGAAAACATCGAGTTCGTTGTTTAATTAATTAGCAAAGTTGTTATCTTATATTTAATATTGTTGAAATTTTGTTTAATAATAATAGTTTATAAAAATGTTAATTTTTTAAAAATAAATGCTTTTTAACCCCACGTTTCGTCTATCTAACATCCTTAAAATTAATATAATAATTATTAAAAAATAGCCCTTATTTTTTAATACAAATTATTCACCTGATGAAGATTAGGCATGCTGTTATGTGGTCTCATCCAGGCGGCTTGTGATAATTTAAAATGGGGTCTCAATTTTTTCATATTGGCATGTGTAAGTTCGGTTCAAACCTTTGTAAACGCGCCAATATCCCTCAAAATTTCTTTGGCATCGTCTCTAATCCCGATATATTTTTTAAGACTCCTGAGTCACAAAAAGATTGCTTGATAAAATCACTTAAATGATCCGTTACTAGAAATGGTACATTGCGCTTTACAAGCGCAGAAACTATTTTAATTTCTACCCTTTTTATTTCATCTGAAATAAAATTTTCGAAGAACTAAACAAGCAAAAGTTTTCCCTGGTGTTTTGGTTAGTTTTAAGAGAGGACAAACTTTAGGATGCCAGTGAATCCTGAAATATGCTTTTTATGTTTCGTACAAATATTATGCTCTTTTAGTAAAGCAATTTTTTATTAAATTTTTTCATTACCTGGCTTCACAATAGCCACTATATCTATCCTGGGCTTTGCAAAGCCAATATAAAAATAATGCGTTTTGCTCTCATTTCGCCTGGTAGACTGTTCAAAACTTTGTTTACACCTCACCACACTATAAGCAAAAGTAATGGTATCAAGTAAATTCAAATTCCCAGTGCGATCAAAATTCAAAAATCGATAATCTTTTATTTTAATTAATGGATTATTTTAGATTAATAGGATATTTTCGATTTATGGAAATAATTATTATATTCGAGTTTGATTAATCGATTACAATTACTGTTTTCAAAAACTACAACTATTAACTAACTAACTAAAAATAAATAATCGATTTATAAAAATAATCGATTAATGGAAAAATAATTTAATCGATTAATCGAAAATAAACGAAATGAATCGATTAACGATTAATCAAAAATACTCGATTAATCAAAAAGAATCGATTAATCGAAAAGAATCAATTAATCGAATAGTATCGATTAATTTTTAGCAAGAAAATTATTTAAATAGGATTTCTTATTTGAGTTAATGGATTTTTTTTATTAATTTATAGAAATCTACTAAAATCTACAAAAAAAGCCAAAAAAGCTAAATATATACCAAAAAAGCAGAAATCTACTAAATGGGGTAACGTTGGATTAAAGACTTCCAGTCAGAGTGATCTTGACCAAGCACAACGACTAATTGGGATCGAAACTGGGCTGGGGACTAATTAAATTAAATCTTTTTCATGTTTATTTTATTTTATAAATTAGTAAAATTGATAAATTATTTTAAAATTAATTATTTTGTCTTAATAACCTACAATAATTTTTTAAATTTGTAGAAAAAATATACTGTACAACTCGAGTGGATTGCCGATATCCACTATTGTTGCACAAACTACTATTGCGTTAGTTATGTGATTTTAAAATATGTATTTTTGTGAAATTTAACTGGGTGTTCATTGCACAAATGAACCAATGGAGAAACCACTTCTTGTCTCATCCCATATTTAATATAAATTATTTACCTCATATATTATTCCGGTATGTTTAATAGGCCAAATAAGTCAAGGGATGAAAGATGTATAATTATTTCCAAGGAGACTATGGGCTTACTTCTTAGTGTTCCTATAATACATACAAATGCATTCCAGCCTTTGTACTCCTGAACGGGTATTGATGAATGTTTTTGTTTACTTTGACCATCAAAAAACCTCTTCATATAAAATCATGGGTCTTGTTATTGCCGAATATAATCTAACCAATCAACCATTTTCAGTTCGAATGCCCTTTTTCTCCTACAATGAGTAAAATCTTACATTTTTTGGAAACTATGATTAGATGTCGATATTTTACTTGCTTTGTTCTTGTTAGTCGTCCTTCAAACATTGATTTAGTTTTTATAACCTACAATCTTGTTTTCTGGGTAAAGGTTATGAGAGTTTTGCTTTAACAGTCTGCCTCAGTGCAGTTTTACTATTACTGCTTGTACTTTCGACTCCACATATCTGATTTTGACGGTTTTTGTTATTCCTATCAATATGTACGTTAATATCAATTTTTACAAAATTTTTAACACCAACAGCTTCACTGGACACCTAATTATATTTACCAAAACCATTTACTTATCGTAAACTGACGTTTTTTCAGCAATCTCAAGGGACTCAAGCAATCGCATGCCTCAACAGATACGCAACCAGCCAATGCAGGGCGCTAGAGGTGGCGCAAATAGCGCCCAAACGAATCCGGGTAACCGCCCGGATCCACAGAAGAGGGCGCGATGGTTCGTAGCACTTTTCGATTACGATCCTGCGACCATGTCACCCAATCCGGACGCTTGCGATGAAGAATTACCGTTTTCGGAAGGCGACACCATCAAAGTTTGGGGCGATAAAGACGCAGACGGGTTTTACTGGGGCGAATGCAGGGGTAAGTAATCTTTTTCAGTCAACTATATTACCCTGATTTAACATCCAGTGATATTTCCTTAAACTAACTGTTAATAGGCATATTAAAGATATATCAAAAAAAATTAATTAGGTTTGAATAAGGCCTATTTTCCAATTTTAAAAATATTTTTGTGTAAACAAAATATTGTACCTTTGCCTGGCAAATACAACAAGTACCTAGGTATTTTTTAAATATTTCAGTTTTAGAATGAACGAGTAATACTGTATTCTACCCTAGAATATTACAGGGTTGTCAATTTTTTTTTACTTAAACAATGTAATAATTTAGATAGGTTAAAAATGCTTTCAAAAATTGTTTAATTAATTGTTTATGAGTTACCAAGCTAACAAATAATGGTGATAAGAGAATTGGTTCATTTTAAATCTAGTGTTTTGAAACATATCATAAATTTAGCTCATTTAAATTTCAATTTACTAAATTTTTTTATGAATTTACATATCCAACGATACTAATATGTTAGTCTATAATACATATACATGTTGTCCTATCTGTGTTTATTGAACATTGGCTGTTTTATTATTGGAAATACAAAGAAATTTTGAATACAAAAGTTGTGCCCACTATAGGCCACTATATTTTAAATTTATTCTTAAATATACAAATTGTCCATAAATGAGCGACGGCCCAAACGCATACTTTTTTAAACCAAATCTCCTATAAATACATTTTTGAAATCTGCATACTTTGATATACTGGGTGCTATAGATCCTATAGGTATTATTGTTATAAATTCACAGTAAATCTAGTAGGAAGTTAAGTTAAGATTGTTTTCACATTGTCAAACAATTTCAATAGACTTAAAGTTCATAGAAATATTTTGAATTTTTATTCATTTACTATAATTTATACAGGGTTGCGACAAACCCGATGTACAATCATTTTTTCAAACTTTATATTGTCAATTAATTTCTTTACTTTTGTATTTAAGGACTACCCTGTATATTTAGAAATAAATTTAAAATACGGTTGTCAAGACTATATACAACTTTTGTACTCAACATTTCTTCATACGCACTGATGAAACATTCATTATATTTTTTATTGGGATATCCTATATATCTATGTCTAAATAATTAGTTGGTATTAATTTTTTATTCTAAATTTTAGGTAGAAGGGGGTATGTCCCGCATAATATGGTAATGGAGTTAGAGGGCAATCAAAATAGAGATAGATGGGGCGATAGTTTAAGTAATATGCCAGTCAAACGGATGGTGGCTCTGTATGACTACGATCCCCAGGAGTTGAGTCCGAATGTTGACGCAGAGGTGAGCCTATATCATAAACACCCTTGTAATTTTGGACACCGTACTTACATCATTTAGTATCACGATACACTCATATAACCACGAAACACTCATAACACTATTAGTACAATAAAAAGTAGGTTTGTTTTCAAAAATAAAAACTGTTTAGAGAGTTTGTAATTAAAGAATCGTTTGGTGACCATAAACTAAGCTTCACACCAAATTTTCGAAATATGTTACTTGACATTTCGTGTATTTATTTTAGATGTGACGTGAAACCAAAACAGGCACTGAATCCGACTTCTATATTTAAAATTATATGATCGTGAAACAGTGATTAGCTGAAATGTGTACAATATTTGAGGACCAAAAGTCTGCCTTATTGCTCTCATTTTTAACTCCTCTGCAGGGACAGAAGTTGGAAAGGCTTCTGCCAGTTCTCCCACTTTATACACAGAATTTGACAGTGTTGCCGTGGAGCTAACCTAACTAATATGTTCTATTATACGGTTTATAATTTTAACACGGCACACCTGGACAAGCAAAATTAAAATTTTACGATATTTCGAGTTGCAGTTTAGTTTCAGGTTGATAGAGGTTCTTCAAAGATGAGTTCTTCTGAATATAATGCCAATATATTTTTACAAATTTCTCTGCTACGTAGATTTAAAAAATATATAACAGTGGAAAGAAGTAAATGTTTTTCTGTTGGTTCAAAATCCATCATTTTGAAGAATTATCTTCAGTGTAACACATTTCAGCTGCTTATGTAGTTTTTGAGTCTGGAGTAGAATATCTAGATGTTACGTTTTTTCATCGTTTCAGGAAGTCCCTATAAATGATGTCTTTATAACAAACCAGATGTGACATTCCTCTTTTATCTTCTTTTGTCCAAACCTCAGAGTAAGATATTATCTAAGGTCCAAACCGCGCAGTGCCTAATGCGGGATGAACTGTCAAGTTATTTTGAAACTTTTCGATCGAATAGTATAAAAGAATTTATTTGTTTTTGTGTTAGTAGTGACTATATTTTCCTATATATAAAAGGGAAGAACTGAATTAATATTTAAAATGCCGGGCTGCGCGGTGGCGACATGCAAACACCATAATACGGAATCCAAATATAGGGTAATATAAGATATTTCCAAATGTCAAAAAATGTGGGTAAATTCTTATCGAAGAAAGGACAAACTTAATTTAAACAATGGTTAGTAAAATGTATAAAAGTATAAAAAGTTTTAGAGACAGTGAAAAAAATGCTGAAATAAAAAAAATTATATATATTTTTTATTTTAGCATGAAATTACCCTATACACTTTGAGGAAAGTAGCTGTGAGATTCCTCCTAAACATATACGTCTATAGACGCAAAGAAGGAAACTGAATTCCACCAGGTGCATGGGGCCTCATTAAGCAAAGAAAATAAATAGGTATTTTAAAATTTGAGCAGATAAAACAGTAGTTTTATGGGATCAACTTTCGTTTAGCCGAAATCAGTTACGTAAAAGTTGTTGCCATGCCAACCGTTGCCATGGTAACCAGTAAACAAAAACCCAAATCTGGTAGTTGTCAAGTTATAGATTATTTAATGTTCACTTTAGTTTAGACAAAATCAGTTATGGTAAAACTGTTGCCATGGGAACGCTTGACATAGTAACGACTGAACGAAAAGCCAAATCCCATGGTGAGGAAATACGTGGTTGCCAAGTTACAGATGATATAATTTAGCTGTAATTAGTTACGGAGAAACTCTTGCATAGTTGGTAAGTTACAGGTCATTTAATTTTCACTTTAGTTTAGCTGAAATCGGTTATGGACTAGTGGTGAGGAAATGCGTAGTTGCCCCTTATATTTAGATTTACTATTAACACAATATCCTAATCTAAACTAAAGTGAAAATGAAACCATCTATAACTTAGCAACTAGGCATTTTCTCAATACGGGATTTGTTTAGTCATTAGCATGACAAACGTTTCCATGGCAATAGTTTCTCTATAAGATCACGCTACGCTTCTCCAACCCGCAACCTAACTACTACAGAGGAAAGCCAGTGAAGCGAGTGTGCCAGGACGACGTTTCGAAATTCGCGCGCGCGAATTTCGAAACGTCGGCCGGGCGCGCCCTTTTTCCACCTACATCGTAAGATCACGCTACGCTCCTCCCACCCACCTCTTATTTACTACAGAGGAAAGCGAGCGAAGCGAGCGCGCCCGGCCGACGTTTCGAAATTCGCGCGCGCGAATTTCGAAACGTCGGCCGGGTGCTCTCTTTTTCCACCTACATCATAAGATCACGCTACGCTCGTTCCACCCACCTACGAACCACTACTTGGCAACTACGCATTTCCTCTCGACGAGATTTGGGTTTTTGTTTAGTCGTTAGAATAAGCGTTTCCATGGCAACAGTTTCTTCATAACTGATTTCAGTCTGTGAATCGTATATTTTTCGACCCCAATATGCACTTATTCATTCGGGTCATTCAAGTCAATACGCTTTTGTACGATTTCATTTCTTTGATGTGTGAAAAAATGGGTTTAAATGTCGAATTTCCTTGCAAAATAACGTCCTGTTTTCAATCCTTTATCCACTTGCAACATTAAAGCCTTTAGTTTTCCGAAGTCTAGTTTTATTAGTTATTCATTTAGTGAACATGGCACATGGCTTGTGTGAAAATATGGGCAGCAGATATCTTTAAATCGAATTCTCCATATCTTATCATCAGAAGCCACTGGTAAATATCCTTTTATTCTACTCAAAATCGATGTACTTTTTAATCCTTTTCGAGGCTTGTATGCAAAAATGGGACACCTTAACCTGTCACTATCTGACGCTCAATGATGTACTGTATTCTACTAGTCAAACCCTTTCATTTGATACCCATATTGAGCGGGTTAAAAAATATGTAATCCGCTATTTTGTGGCGGCGTCTATCTTGAATTTACAATGATGCTGAATATACTTAATTGTATTTTCATCAGAAATAAAGGTGTGTACCAAATTTCAGATCAATCGGTCAAGAGGAAGGGGTAAAATATGAAATCCGCCATTTTGTGGCGGCGGCCATCTTGAATAACAATAATACTGAATATACAAAATTATATTGTCATCAGAAATAAAGGTGTCTATCAAATTTCAGATCAATCGGTCAACAACAAAAGGGTAAAATTGTATTTACTGAATTTGACCGAACAACAATAACAAACAGGTCAAGCTAAATAAAACCGTTTAAAAACACACACTTTGTACTAGCTAATTATAAAATAAGAAATGTCTAAATTTATTAAATAATTTTAAATTTGCAATGTACATCGTTAACCTATCTTAAAACTATCAATTGTAACTAAAGACTAAAAAAATAATCTTAACACATTACTGTGCTGACCTGTATGCGATATTATTACCAACGTATTAATGTTTGTCACATGAAGTAACTAAAAAGAAGTACAAAAAAGTTTATGTAAATGCTTATGCAAGCATTGCTGCGTATATTAAACTTCAGTTGTAGATATATGAAAGGGTTGTTAACAAATATGATGTTAAAATTATAATAATATTTAATGGGATATTTAAAAATATATATCAAGAAAAGTCTATAAGAAACGTTGCACAGTGGGCTGTGTTAACAACTTGTTATAAAAATAAATAATCTCAGATAATACTTTTTCTTTTTCAAAACTGCATTCTCTTAACTCATTATGTTATGAACTTTACGATATAATGAAATATATATTTTAAATTAAATGTTTTGGGTTTTTTAACGAACACAAAATACCAAGAGGTGATTTCGAAAATTTGGTTACATGCCTACCACATTTAGAGCGTGCAGACACTCCTTTTATGTACTTATTCAAAAAATTCACCCCAGTTTTTTACAATTTTAACATAATCACTCAATTGACGTAATTTGTGTGTTTTTAATGTTTGGAAACACTTTTTATGGTTTGGACACAATAAGCTTAAGCCGTGTTTCATAAAAAACCTTAATTGGTTCTCCAGAAACCTCGACTTTCATCTTACAAACTACAGGTTTAGTTTTTGGGTCCTAACGATTATTAAATTCATCGTGTAAAAGTTATTTCCTATTTTTGTGTACTATATGCTATATGCTAGACTTCAATTTGCAATATTTTTGTTCTTGTTTCCCAAATATTTGAGAAACAAGTTTAATAAAATAATGCTAAATCACTATCATCCACACTATCAGCAACACCATACGCTTTCATCCTCACACAACACCTACACAAAACCTCCACAACCACACTTGATACCTTACGCAGATACCCTATCCTGCTTCGTCACCAACTCGAGCTCTACCAAAACTTTTTTCGACCCAACTGCAGGTAGAACTGAGCTTCACCACCGGTCAAATCATCACAGTCTATGGAGAAATGGACGACGACGGCTTCTATATGGGGGAAATCGATGGCGTAAGAGGCCTGGTACCGTCCAACTTCTTGACGGAAGCGCCAGAACAATACGGAGCCGGGCAAACTTCGCAGCAAGTAGCGCAGCGGGGCCAAAGAGGGAGGGGAGTCGGACCGGGAGCCAGAGGCCCGCCGCCGCCTCCTAGAGAAAACCAGACTCGTGGCGGAAGAAACAAAGGTAAATTGGGGTGGTTTTTGAGAGATGCGAAAAACGTTGGTAGAAAATGTCGACGCTTTGGTTAAAAAATATTGGTTTCAAAATTCAGAAATTATGAAAGTTAGAGTATGGAATCAGGGTTTCTGTCAAATTAGTTGAATACAGTTACAATTGAAATAAATTTGTATATTTAACTTTGGAAACATATCGAGCAAAAGTTTTGCAGATGTACCTCACGAAACTGATTTTTCAGATTATCTGCCTGGAATTCAATTGAGGAAACATTTACACTTGCTCCACGACCACGTCGAAAGAAGTCAGGAATATTTGGAAATCCTTAAATCCCAATTTAAATTCTGTATTTAATGAAGATAGTTTCTGTGCTAGGACATTCTTATCAAAATTTCTAAGAAAAGCCAAAGGGGAAAAGGATAAATATTTCCAAAAATCTCCCAGGTGTAGGGCCAGCTCAGGTCTCCCCTTTATTTCCCTGAAAGTTCAGAATTTCAACATGTTGCTAGCTAGCTAGCTAACTTCACAATAAAAAATGATGTATTCATATTATTTTCCAAGTGCTACAAGAACTGCTGGAAGTGGCAGTGATTTAAAATCTTGATTTACTAAAATATACATACGAAATAATTGTCTTCATTACGTGCTTAAATTTTAATGATTTAGCATGAGTGTCTTCTTAATGATTTATACAGTGAAATGAGAACAGATTATTAATGTAAATAAATGTCTAATCTGGTCTAAAATACCTTCTTACTATAAATACTTATACCAGCTCGTAAATCTCCATGTTCATTCTCCAAGAATTCTGTATTGTCCCCAGTAACCTTGTTTCACCTTCTTAGAAGCAGGATTTATTTCATTTAGTTCAATTTCTAAAAAGTTTCTTCTAAGCGCCGCAAGTTTCTTCACCCATACTGTTGTGTGGTCTCCTGCCTAGGGCCGTTTGGTATTATTACTACGTATGTTTTTTTGCTGTATATGACATTAAAATGCCAGTTCACGTTGAATATCGTTTACCCTATTCGAATCAATCGAATAATAATGAAGATATAAGCTTATGCCCTTTTTGCATTATTACTACGTACATTTTTTGATTAGTTTTTACGTCCGTATGATATTTTGCGTTTGTCTCATTCGATTTGGGCCAATACTAAGTTAGCATTCTGGTATACATATTATGTTCGTAAGACCCTCGTATATAGTGTGTACCATAAATTTGGATCCATATGGAATTTTTTTGAATATTACGATTGGAAAAAAACGTCGTAGGGCAATCATCTCTGCTTATTTAAAATCTTAAAATAGCCCATATCAAAGTTGGCTATTGAAGTTAGTTATCTGTCAAATTCGCATTTAAAAAAAAGCCATTTTGAACACCAATCGAAAAAAAATATAATAGAGGTTTCTTACACTGACCTAAGGAATCTATTGTTAACGAATTGGCCTTCTTTTTAAGGACACCCTGTATAGAGATTATTAAGAATATAAACCAATACATATTTTTCAATTAGATTTTTAATATCTCTAAGAAAAATGCAAACGTTTTCTACCAAGGTTTTTAGTGTTTTCTAAATATAAACATTATTTATTTTATATAGGGTGTTATTTCTGAGGTTTTAAAATAATTATTAACGCTATGTCATTTGAAAAAAACTCAAAATAAATAACTTATGTGCCTAAATTAAATACGTATATTTTATTTTCTCGCTTATATATTGTCATTTGATTACAGTTTTACCTTTCTTATGGAACTTTATCACTACTACTTTTATCAGAAGTTCAATTTTTTATTTCAGTGGAATGTACTGTTCAAATTACATATGACAGTGTTGCCAAATTTTCATTTTTACCATTCAACTATCTTTTCACTATTTTTTTTAAGTGCAAAGCCATGAACTGGAAAATAATGTCTATGGTGATGCATTGTACATATTGTCAGATTTGTAATAACATTCTCCATCTAATGGCGAAATGGCCCTTAATGGGTGCTTTAAAATAAGTGAGAATTTAGTAAAAAACACGTTTCAGAAATTTATTTTTATTTGAAAGATTTATATTTAACTTATTTAGTAAAATAGTTTTTGTTTCGAACTATTTTAGGCTGTTGGAACATTATTTTTCAGTTCATAGTCTTCTACCCAAAAAAATTAAAAAAATTGAGTTTTGAGAAAAATATATGTAATTTAAATTGTAGATTCCAAAAAACAATGAATATACAGGGTAATACATTTAAAAAATCAAACTTAAGTGTCAATTCGATATTACGTCTAGTAGGTTTTTCCTAAATTTTATACTTTCATGTATTTGACATATCGTTAACATATTTTCTAACTATATTACACCCTATATAAACCAAAATGGTTATATAATCAATACTACATATATATTTATAAGTATATACAAAGAAATACCATCACACACTTGCAAAATCATACTTTATTTTTTGCTTTATCAATTTTTTGTTGTTGAAAATAGCAGTTTTATTGTAATAAATGTAGTTACACTAATAAAAAACACATTATTCATACATCATGTGCACTACGATGAAAAAACTGCAAATTTGTACAGTTACAGCGATATTAATTTAAAATTGTTTATATTTTATTTAAAAAAAATGTTAATTTTTATTTAGCAAATAATAAAATTTTAATTTAATAAATTAGCTAATATTATGTTAAATATCCCGTTCTTATTTATTCATTCTATTGTTTTTACATTTAATGGTATGTATTTATTTTAATTTATTATTTAAACTTTTATTTGTTTATTTCAAAACAAGAAAACTTCCCCAACGTAACTATTTTGGTATTAAATTTGATTTGGAAATGGGTTTCTTACTTTTTTTTGTAGTTTATAGACCCCCGTTTACATCTATCGCCTGTATACTGTACACATCTATATTTTTATATAATTTGTACCGCATTTACTCCAAACTACTCAGTTGTTATCACATCTGGTTATGAATCTTTAATTAATAAATTAACTATTTCGTATATCATTTAAATCGTCAAAATTAATCAGGTTAGAAATATATAATAAGCAGCCAAAAACTCCCCAAAAAAATAGATAAACATAATACATAAAGTAAATCATTGTTTAAAAGAGATATAAAATACAAAATTGTTATTCTACAATTTAAAGATACATATAAAAATAGTGGTAACAAAAAAAAACAATAAAAATAATACAATAAGATTATTCTTACAAAAAGTGTATACTAAGGAATTCTTACAAAAAAATATATCTGTAATTCTTACAAAAATACATTCAAATTGATTCTTATAAAAAATATCGCTTCCTTCATTCCAATACCTCGTATGAGTAAATGTAATGTATAGAGGCGAAAGAAACCACGTGGTGCAACATCTTAGTGAGAAAATCAGATCCGTGATAAAAATTTATAAATAACTTGACAGACAATTTTTTCTCATACCTGTAAGATTAGAATCATTCGATAGAGCGTCCACAATAAGTTCAGAACCAGTCTTGCATACATTTCATCTAAAATTTTAATACGTGATATTAGAATGAAGGCATCGATATATTACCAGAAATTCTTACAAAAAATATTATTTCTTGAATTCTTACAAAAAGATATTCTCAGAAATATATTCTCCTCCAAATCAACGAGCCATTTAAAATTTAAATAAATTGAAATTATCTAAAATAAAATTAATATTTATTATTATTAGTATTGATTACTAAATTAACTGTTTCGTCCTTTTTTACTTTCCTATCTGTATACAGATATAAGGAAAGTATAGGAATCATGATTTTTTTCGACCTCGAGTTTTCGACGGATTTTTACGTTTTGAGGTCCCCTGAATCCGTTTTGACTATTTTCGCGATGATGTCTGTGTGTGTGTGTGTGTGTGTCTGTGTGTGTGTGTGTGTGTGTGTGTGTGTCTGTATAACGCATAACTCATGAACCGATACACAGAAAAACACCAAATTTTAAACTTAAGCTTTGTTTCAGCGTCTTATGAGCTGATTAGATTTTGGGCAGAGTCGGAACATTTGGGGGGGTACTTTATAGGTGGTCATTTTTATATTTTATGGAATATATCTGTTATTTACGTTTGGAGAAGAAAATTGTTCAAATAAAAGTTACTTCTAATATTATCTATAATTTTTGTTCTATACAAAATTTTCCTAAAATGGTCCGTATTCGAGAAATTTGACAAAATGTAAAAAAAATATTTTTTTATAAAAATTGTTCAAATAAAAGTTGTTTGTAATATAATTCTCTATAATTTTTATCCTATACATAATTTCTCTAAAATGGACCGTATTCGAGATATTTGAGAAAATGTGTAAATTTCGAATTTTGAAGAAAACTCAAAAACGGATAAAGAAAAATCTGATGTGTCCAACACATGACTTTCCTATCTAGTTATTACAGGCTTTTTCCGTTTATTGTGTACAACCTATTGCAGCATCTCTAAAAATGTTTAGAGGATAAACTAAATATATATACATTGTCCACATACATCTACCGCGAAACATTTTTCTATAGATATTCATTGAAAATGAAAATACTGAAAAATTTAAATTTGGCACTTTTCCTACAATTTTTCCATTACGGTCCATTTAAAAAAAATCATGTATGAACAAATATTATAGAGATCGATATCGCAAACAACTTTTATTTCAACAATTTTCATAAAAATCAGAATTTTGCACATTTTGTCAAATTTCTCGAATACGGACCATTTCAGGAAATTTTTACATAAGGCAAAAATTATAGAATAATATTAGAAGTAACTTTTATTTGAACAATTTTCTTCTCCAAACATAAATAACAGATATATTCCATAAAATATATAAACGGCCCCCCATAAAGTACCCCCCCAGATGTTCCGACTTTGTCCAAAATCTAATCATTTCACGTCAGGCCGAAATAAAACTTAAGTTTAAAATTTATTGATTTTTTCTTTATCCGTTTTTGAGTTTTCTTCAAATTTCGAAATTTACACATTTTCTCAATTATCTCGAATACGGTCCAT